AGGGATTACCTAAATAAAGTTCTTCCACTCGTAACAGTGAAAGACAGGCCTCCTTCCTTGGCTTCAATGTGTCTGATTAATTTCCTAAAATAAGCCTCTGGGACATGTTTGCCTTTGAATAGGATATTGCACAGAAAAGCCTTTTACCTTCATATGCCTAAATTTATCTTTGGGGAAGTTATGTCCTTTTTCTTTTCTCTCTCTCTCCACCCTTTCTCTTCATCTCAAATTCCTTTCTACTCTTTCGTAGGAAACTTGGTAGAGACTCGTCTTGTCATAGTAGATTAGAAAATGCTGCTACTATTTTGTGATAAAGTCTATGCAATGTTATAACACAATATAGATACAACATCTTCCACAGAAGAAGAGATCCATCACCAGGTCCTGATAGTTGGTGGACTTCTTTTAACTCCTCCTTCAAGATCCAGTTGAATGTCTCTTTCTTAGAGCAGCTCTCCCAGGGAGAGTTACTCAGACTTTTCTTTACATGCACATAACAGCTTGACATCTCTATTCATGCACTTAACACAATAATTGAGAATCATCTTGTGCGTATCTGCTTTTTTCTAGATGATAAATCCCTCCAGGGTAAAGACTATGACTTTTTCATGTTTGTATCCCTGGCAACTTGCTGGATTCCTGGCACCAGACACTGTCAAATAGCTACAGAAGACTTTCTAGTTCATAAAAAATAAAATAAAATATACACCTGATGACAGTAGTTTCATGAGTTGCTTTACATTAATTGTGAAGTATAACTCCTTAGATTCTGCTCTAATGTGATAGCCAGTGCTTACATGTGCTAGGCACTATCCTAAGTCCTCCACATTGAATCCTTACAACCCTGTGAGGTAGATAACAGTCATGAGCCATGCTAGAGCTAAGGAATGGAGGTGCAGAGAGTCTAAATGCCTCACTCAAGGTCACACAGCTGGGAATTGGTATGTGACCTCTGCAGTCTAACTACAGTCCCTACTCTTAACTCTCACTCTACACAGCCCTTCCATAACTAAACTGTCCATTAACTGCAGATGGTTCTCACACCATCTCATCAGTTTCTCTTCTTGAGCAACTCTAGAAGACATAGACACACAGAGCCAATTTCCAAGCTATCCAGGTGGGTTTATAGGATAAATATGTACCTCTCTTCATTGACATGATGTTGTGCCAAGTAAATCCAAAACTTTGCGATCTTATTTTTAATTCTTTGATATCACAAGAAGAGTGGATATATCTTACATCTATAGAGGAAATTCAAGCTTTTTTCTGTGTTTCCAGTAGAGTTTGAAGGAAATCACTTCTGATACAACTATCAACTTTAAAAACTAAATCCTCCCAAGAAGGCATAAATGTTAGAAGTTTCTGTAGATATATTCCTGGGATCCTCTAGAACATAAATTTATTTCTTACAAAGCATTATATATCTATGAAGCAACTACTTTAGGCCGTTTGTTATCCTGGATTGGATTTAGTGCTAATGTCTGAGAGATGAAGACTCTGTGTCATATTATATATCCCCTCAGACAAGAATCCTTTGAGGTCCCAAGGGTCAAGGCCAAAGGGACATTAGCTCTCAATCTCTATTATTTGTCCATATGTATAACTTATAGCTTCATGTATCAGAATAAAATACCATGCACTTTAAAGGCTAGGTCTCCATTTAAGCACATCCCAGAACAATACAAAGCTCAGTGAACTATAACCTGGCCTATCCCAAAATGTTAAAACCTAGAAGGACCAGATTTTGGAATGGCAGCAGGACTTAATAAAAGCTTGCCATCATTGTGTATCAAAGGAGTTTAGATCCATGGTAAATGTCCCTGACCTGGATATAACATTCACTGTATTACACAAAGGAGCTCAATTTTTTTTAGCAAAAAGAGTACCAATTAACCTCCTGACAGAGAGAGGTTTTTAACCATCAATGATTAAGAGATGGGATCTGGCATGAGACAGGACAGATGGATGGGTGTGACCTTGTGAAAGTCACCTCCCTAAGTCCCAGGATCTTTGTCTATCTAATGGGCATGGGAACAGTATTAGTCCCAAAGGCGGAGTCACAGATGTTGCTCTGAAGAGCCATGGGTCTTGGTTAAGCACAAAGAATTCCCCCTTATGAAATTTCTAGAAAGCCAATGAGATGTAGCCAAATAATCAGGGAAGTGAAGGTAGAATAGGCTCAGAAAAGGTGGAGCTGCCCTGAGAAACACCCTCAGAGGAGGCCGCTGAGAGCCAGCTGACCTGTGGAGGGTGGGCGAGGTGGGGGTAAAGAGCTAAGTAGCAGGGAGTCGTTCCCAGTTCAAGAGAACAACAACTTCTGACTCCTACAGCTCTGTCATCAGTATCGTTGGCTTATTTAAATTTGATAGTTCCAGGACACATGCAGCTGTCCATTTTTGCCTATTAATTCCTGCCAATTCTTCATGTACCAATTCAAGGCAGATTTGCCTAGAGAGTAGGAGAACGTCATTTACAGAGGACCTTCTCAAGCAAGTACCACTCAATCCTTAGTTATCCTGTGGCCCAGGTGATAAAATATGAGTGCTCAAACCTCTGACCAAAGGCCAGAGAAAGACCTCCTCCTGAAAGCTCAGCTTAACCAGGAGACCTTTCTGACTGTAGAATGGGCAGAAGTGTTTCTCTCTCTTCCAAATAGCCCCTGATTTATGGACACTAGAAGAAGTGACTGAATTATATAGTTCTTCCATCCATGCAAAATAAGCTTTTATTTGAAGATGCAAAATAATTAAGATTTTCACACTTTTCATACCTACAGACATATCTGTACAAATTTGCAGAGTTCATTCCAAATGGCCCCATTCCAGACCCTAGTGCTATATGTTTTGTCAGGCACACACACTAGTTACAAGAAGACACTGGCTGATTCAAAAGTTAAAAGAATGAAAAATGAAGGGACACTCTTCCACACTTAGATTTTTTAAAAGTAGTTCGCTGGGCTCCTCACAGGTCTGCCAGCTGAAGAAAACCTTCTTTGGTTATCTTGATTTGTGGGAAAGTTATTAAGGGAGGGGTGAAACCCCTGAATCATGTTTCCTTCAAAGTGGCATCAAAAAGACTTCTGGCTATGTTTTAAATTCATAAAAAGGCATATGACTCAGTTTTAAGACGGTCAGGTGTGTGCCTTCTCTTAGTTTCTCCTCTGAGACTGATTTCTCTTTTCCTGCCTCAGCAGCTGCCTCCTCAGCCTGTAGCTAGTTTCTGACAGGCAACCTCAGGTCATCAGCCTGCTCTGCCAGGACCATGGACAGATCACTGGGAACCGCCACTCCTAGCAGCGGTCTTCCTGGTGATGTGCTAGAAGGGAGAATCAGACCCTGGGTTCTCTGCAGCCACAGCCTTGCCCACCCCCTGATGGGAACAGAAGCACTTTACCACCTCAGAGAGAGACATGACTCAGATGGGCAAAAAGTTGAGAAATTCTAGTCCTGACAGAAAAAAAAAAAAGTTCATAGTGGCCAGCATTGATGACAAAGAGAATTATACTACTGGGGAAAGAGGAGACTAGGCAGAAGAGAGTGTAAGAAACAGAGAAATAGTCATACAGTGAGAAGAAAGGAAAATCGTACCTGGCCAGATGAGAAAACATGAATCCTTGTGAACTTTGCCAATCTTGTCATTCCTTCTCTTCAGCCTCACCACAAGGGGTTAGGGGCATCTGAGGTCTCCCCTCTCCCTGCGCTTGCTCTCCTGCCTGCCTCACCATCCCCCTGATGTTAGGACTCTCCTACCCTTTCCTCACATCACTCCTTGCTCTGGGCACTTGTTGGAGATCAACTACCAATCTATTGTCCTTTCAATTCTGTGGCCTGGAGGTACTTGGGAGGCTTCTGCGGCAGACTTGGTGAGAGAAAAGGATTGTGGGGACTGCCTCAAAGAAAACATCTCCCTCAAGAAGGGACAGAAGCCAAATGGGGAGCAGTCCTTGGAGAGATTCAGCCTTCTGTATTTTTATTTTATGTTCTCATTCCCAGGTAAAATAGGAATCTTTGTATCCATCTTTGTATCTATTTATCACTTTTTCTATGTCTTCAAACTAGTCACTATCACTGCTTTTGTAACAGGGAAAAGTGCAGAAGGGTTGTGACCCCATTAGAAAGAAAAGGACCTGAGTTCAGGCTCTTACAAATCAGTCAAAAGATGGGGGGGGGCAGAAGAGAGATGTAGCACTTGTGTTTGAGGGTGCTATTAAAAACAGGAAAACAAGGTGTCAATGAAGAAAAAGGGAAGAATTGAAGTCAGAAATTGGAGAATGCAAAAGGTGAATGCATAAAGTGGGGGATTCCAGCTTATTAAAATTCCCTTAGACCCTTCAATCCTTGAGGTTTTATGGATAATGCACAGTTCAGGGAAATTTTGCTTCTGTCTTCCAGTATTCATATTCTATGGGGGTAGAAATAAATGTACATATCTAAAGCTGTAGTCCAGGGCAGAGTGAGGATGAACCATGGAAGCAATATCCACAAGGTAGATTCAGAAAATGGGAGAGAGAGATGAATTCTCATATCTTAGAAAGTCTCCCTGGGAGTTGTAATTTGACCTGTAATATGAATAGTTAGGGATATAACAGGTGAAAGAGAGATGGGGAATGATAGAAAGAGCTTTCCAGGTAGTGACTACACCATGAGGAATGTAAAGAAGGTGCCTGGGAAAGAAGGTCGAGTGACTGTCTGGTGCATCTCATCCACCCATTCACTAACACCCATGAATCAGGCTGTCTTCTGTGCCAAAGCCTGCACTAATCACAGAAGAAATAAAGCAAATCTCGCTTAGTATCTGCACCAAGTCATTCCAGCATTGCTAAGACTAGGGTGTGTGGAGGGGGTTAGAGCTACATTGCAAAGGGTCCTGAATGCAAGAAACCTGAGCTTTGTTTTATACTTAGTGAAAGAGATTTTGAAAAACATTAGGGAGTATGGTAGTTCAGGGAGCAGGAGAAAGCCTAGCTTTATTAATTTTATAGAATCCAAAGAGCCAGTAGCTAATGTAGAAAATTAATCTTTATTGAATGGCTAGATATTCTAGCTTTAGTCTTCCTCTTTTGAGGAGAATAGGCAAATGGGTTGGCTTTTCCCACCTCACGTCATCACACTGTGCAATCTTGATGTCCACTGGTATACCTCTGGGGAGACAAGAAACAAATTCTGGGTTAATATACTATCAAGTCCATGGTAAGCCTGAACTTAAATGGCTCAGGCATGGTCAATGAGATAGAGAAACTGAGCAGGGGATGTAATGAACAGTGAATCTGCCAGGTATGGTGATGAGAGCTGAGTGGGGGAACTTCAGGGGTTCTCTGAGCGGCAAGGCTATGTCAGTTCCCACATTAGCCCTATACATATCCCTGGAATACACTGCACTTCCTCTGTAGCTGTGGCCAAAATTGCTGATTTAAACATCTGTAGCTTTAACAAAAGATCTACCCTCTTAGCAATTTTCAAAGTATACAGTACATGAATGTTAATGTTAATCTTAGGCACTAGAGTATACAGCCGAACTCTAGAACTTATTCATTTTTCAGTATAACTGAGACTTTCTATCCTTTGGCTAACTCTGGCAACTACCCTAAAAAGGTAGATCTTATGTGAAATGTTCTTATCACAAAAATTTCTTTTCCTTTTTCTTTCATATTTTTATTGGTGCCTTATAACTATACATTATAGTGGGATTCATTATTACATATTCATGTACACAATACTGCAATATAATTTGACCAATATTGTTCCTCAGTATTTCTTACACAAAAATTAATAATAAAAAAAGAGTAAGAGGAAGTTTTGCAGGTGATGGATAAATTTATGGGATGGATTGTGGTAATTATTTCACAGGTGTGGACTTATCCCTAAACTTAAGTTGTTTATTAAATATGCACAGCTTTTAATATGTCAATCATGCCTCAATAAAGTGATTTTTAAAAAATTTAAATTATAAACATGAATAGTCTTAGATTCTAGGTGTTTAATTCTAATTCTTTATCCAGGAAAGATGAGAACATCTCCATTTTTCCTTTTATAATGATAAAATATTAAAATATTATCCTTTAAATCACTATTCACCTTAGTCTTCTATTCTAAAGAAAGATTCCAGAAGTTATAGTTCTTCATTGGTACTATTTACATATTATAGAATTAGCTTTATAATCTTCCCCCCAAATTTCTGATTTTTGAAGCCTATTTATCCTTACTTTGAGTGAGTGTGTGTGTTTGTGTGTGTGTGTATAAAATCTTTCAACGGTCTATTTGAAAGATTTGGAAAATTACAGCTTTAGCTTTAATCTTAGGTCAGCCATAAATTGGTAGAGGAAGAAGGCAAGTTATTCAAACATTCTATACTGTATTTTTGTCTGGCAATAAAATAGCTCTCATCTCACAAGGAGGCTATGAAGATTATGTATAATGTATTTGAAAGTATCTCCAAAAGTAGAATATGCTTAGAAAATGCAATGCATTTAAAAAATAATAATAGCAATCATAATCATTATGCACAAATATATTTTTGGTGCAGGAATTGAATTTCAGGTATTCTTTTGCTCTTCCCTCTTTGAATGATAACCCCAAATTTCTGTCCATCAGTCACAATCTACCAAAGATAATTAAAAACCTCTTCTTCCTTGTATTCCTTCAAAAAATATTTGAGTAGAACCTAATTTGTGCCAACCATTGTTCTAGACACCAGTGATCTTATAGTTTTTCAGGTTATTTGGGAAGAGATTGGATAATGACAGTTATACATTGTCATCATGATTGTTGTTTTTAATCACGGAATTAGTTATTTTTATATGTGAGAAAGTAAAAAGGTATTAACTTTGAGCTAGTTCAAATGTATTCTCTTTATTTAAAAACTCTTGCAAAGGATATCTCCATGTTGCCCATGCCAATTTTAGGAGAACTGATCTTTATTTTACGTATAAAATAGAATGCATGCTTTATGTTGAATGCCCATCTTTGCTATCCTTCATTAAATTGTGTGGATTGAAAGGAAAAGGGAAGGAAGAGACAGTGGTGAGAGTTATTGTGGGTCAGAACTGTTCTAGGTGCTTTTATACCCAGAATCTTACCTATGCCCCTCACGTCTTCCCTTGCAATGTGCTGAACCTTGCAATGTGCTGAACCTTGCAATGATTTCCTCTGCCATGAGTCTATGGTAGATCAATGACAGTGTGTGGTTCTTTCTTGTACTGTAACTCAAAAAAACATGTTGACATGATTTTCCCATTGAATTTAGTGCAGGGAAGATTTCGTCCTATAAAGGTGACACCAGAAATACATTCCCTAGTGGTTGTATTTTCCCAAAGAGGCCAAGTCACAAGAAAAGCACAAGAAGTGGCATTTTACCTCTTTCACTGCTGAGATGTTGTCATGGGCTCCAGCTCTGTTCCCTCTGACCTATTTCACCTCTGGTTGAGCAGACATCCTACTTCCTTCCACCAAAGCTTCTTTCTGTCATTGTTAATTCTAGAATAGAATTGATTCCACATTTTTACTCTAATGAATTATACTCAGGAGAATTTCACTTAAGAAATACCTACATGAATTAATTGGAGACTATTTTCACTTGTAATGCAGACTCAAGTCATGGGATCTAGCAATGTCACTCTGGGAGTTCTGTGAATAAAATGTTTTCTTGATGATTTCCATTTATAAAAGGATATGCATATCATTGTTTTGATATACAGAAACTCCTAACCTGAAGAGATCCAGGAAATGGATTTCAGCCAGTCTCTTTCCCTTCATTTTCCAAGAGCCATGACTACAGCTACATTTTGGTTTTCACTGACCAGAGTCTGTAAAGGATCAGGAGTGAGTTCTTCATTCTTCCATCAGTCAAATGTGCTGAATTAGCACTTATAACTGTGTGCTAAACATTGTTCTAGCCACTATGGATAATGCTATTAATAATTAGTGTATCTTGGCTTTGTTGAATATGCCTACTAATAGATGAAGACATACAAGAAATAAGAAAACAACAAAGATAACTTCAGATACTCATAAATGTTGCAAAAAATACACATACATATATATGCAGGTGTATTTTTATATATATGTAGTGTATTTTTTACAACATTTATATATGTATCCTGTTTGACATATATATATATGTCATCAATTTATTTGAGAGTCACTTGGGCCAACATTTTCATGGACTAATAATAGTGCTAGTACTTTATTAATAAAATAAAATTTGACTCCCATGCAGCAATGCAGACTGGGGCACAAATGCTAATGGACGCAGATTTACTATAATATTTTCAGCAGAACACTCATTATACTGTATTTTAAGAGATATTATAGGAAAGCTAATTCTCTTATAAAAACATTTGGCAAATACTAGATTTAACAAAACTAAACTAAAACAGAAAAAAATGAAAGGGAGTAACTGGTAAGGGATAATTTGTTCAGACTGGTCTGTGGCACTAATATCTAAGAAGAACCAGTAGGGCAAAAAAACATGGGAAAGAAAATTTTCTCAAGGCAGAAAGAACTTTAAGTGCTACAGCCCTGGGACAAGAATAAGCTTGCTTGAGGCACAAAGAGAAAAAAAAATGAACATACAAATAACATCTGAGAGGCAGATAGGAAAGAGATCAAAAGGACCTGTACATCTTGATTTGTGAATTATATTTCAAGCTACAGTAAACAAATGGAAAGTTTTTAAGCAAAGATATCTAATAATATAACTTATACTTGAAAAAGCCTCTGTAGTCGCTGTAATAAGAATGGTCTTCAGGGCACAAGTATGGGTGCAAATAGAAAAGTTGGTGGTGGTCCAGGAAAGACCTGTGACAGCTTGGCCTAGGGTGGGGGCAGTAGTGATGGAAGGTAATAAACTGGATTGGGATCTATTTGAGGGAGTGGAATTATGAAATTTGCCAATAGTTTAGATGCTGGAAGTGAGAGGAAGGAAGGAATTGAGGAATACTGATTAGAAGCTTCCTGTCTTATCCTTACAAAGGCTGCAGAATGTGTCTTTTTCATCTTTGTCTAATAATGGAATAAAGGAATCAATGAGTAGAGATGAATGAAGGAGGAACTGTATTTCTTTCTCCCAGATAAGTGCATCTTTCTTTTCTACAGGCAAATACTAGAATAGCCAAGTTCTCTTTCATCCTCTGCTTCTCTGAGTGGCGTATGCATCTTGGTAACCTGGGAAGTCTCACATATGGATTGGTCATATAGTTGGAGAGTAAAAAGCTGGGCCACAGAAAGTTGTGTCTTTCTCACAACTTCCCTTGCAAGAATTTCAGCTGTTTGTGCTTTCAATAGTGTGTGTGCTTTTGTTTGGGAATAAAGCTAACACAGAGCAGTCATTAAAGAGTATACACAGAAATACTGTAGGCAAAGCATTCAGCACAAGCCTGGCACATAGTAGTTGTGTAATAAATAGATATTATTCTTCAAAAAATGATCTTCACTACCTTCAAGGGACGTACATTATCGTTTTCTGATTTCAGCATTTTGAAGGAGTTGGTATTTTTCCCCTAGAATATTCTATTGAAAAGAAACTTCTGTTGTACAACTTTACTATGATTTTAAAAGTAGAGGATGTGGCATGGCTTAGGAATATAGCACCATTGGCTTGGTCATGAAACCAGGCCCTGATTTATTGTGCCACCCTTCACTGAATACTCACCACCTGTCAGTCATTCTGCTCTCACCAAAGACAAAAGATTGGTGTGATATACTTCATGTTCTCCAGAATCTCCCAATCTAAGAGGAGAAATTGAGGGGTAATTAAATAACTGTTGCTCAAAGTGACACTAACTGCATGTGCCAGAATGCAGTCCAGAAAAGAGTGTGATCCATTATGGCTTATGTTGAGGAGAAAAGATGAGGTCAGGCTGCATGGAGAGGGTGAAACTTGAGAAGGACTTTGAAATATGACCGAGAGGACAAGTATGGGTAGCACAGTTTGGCCAGAGGGAACAGCATATGTCATCAGTTTATTTGAGAGTCACTTAGGCCAAGGCTTTCATGGACTAATAATAGTGTTAGTACTTTATTAATAAAATAAAATTTGACTTCCATGCAGCAATGCAGACTGGGGCACAAATGCTAATGGATGTGGATTTACTGCAGTGTTTTCAACAGAACACTCATTATACTGGATTTTAAGAGAGATTATAGGAAAGCAAATTCTCTTATAAAAATATTTGGCAAATACTAGATTTAACCAAACTAAACAGCTCTCTGAAATACAGTATCACCTAGCATTCTTCACGTGCTAATAGTCTGTGCAAATCACTAAGAAGAGAGATGGAGTGTTTCCAAACATATTGGATCTTGGAATTCTTTTCTCCACAACTCTTCCAGAAAGAATGTTCTGGAGAACAGACTTTTACAGGACAATGGAACTAAACCAATTGTTTGTTTATGATTTAATTTTATGTGTAGCCTCTTTGAGGACCATGTGATTCTCCAAAAAAAAAAAACAAACAAACAAACAAACAAAAAAAAACAGATCTAGTAGCCCTTCCTTCAACTTTTCTCAAGAAGTTGCCAGAGTCATCATTTGTTCTGTGACTGAGCAGAGATGTCAGAGGCTAGATGGCATTTCTCCCATAAGATGCTCAGCCTAGCTCTGTTATTAGTTTGCCACAACTGCCATAAAAAGGCACTACAGACTTAGTGGCTTAAACAACTGAATTTGGTTTTTCACCGTCTGGAAGAGGCCAGAATTCTAAGACCAAGATATCAGCAGGATTGGGTTCTTCAGAAGTCTCTCCCTCCTTGGCATGTCTTCTCCTTGCGGTTTCACACAGACTTCTCCTTGAATGTCTGTGTCCTCATCTTTACTAGGAAACACACCAGTCATATTAGATTAGGAGCCACCTTGAAGACCTCATTAAATCAATTACCTTTTTTAAGGACTTATCTCCAAATTTAGTTATATTATGAGACACTGGGAATTAGAAATTCAATATATGGATGGGAGATGGGGATGGTAAGTCACAAATCATCCCATGACTCTGGTTTTCAAGTTTGCAGAACTTCAAACCCAAGATCTCTAATTACCCAAAGGAGAGGATGGATGATCCACCTGCCTGATGTTCTAGCAGAGACAACCTAACAACCCTCCAGCATTTGCCAGCTTACAATTTGGCTGTGAATTCAGGTAGCTATTTGGTTTCCAGTGAACATTTTCATGGATAGTCAACAGCCACCACACTAGATGGCAACTTTGTGAGGTCAAGAACTGAGTCTGCCTTGTTCATTTTTGTATCTCTGTTTTTAGTGTAGGATGTGGTACATAGGAGCTGAATGAATATTGATTTGAATAAAATGGCTACAGTTTTGGTTTTTTCTTTTAACCATCCTTCTCTTTTGTGTTTGATTAGTATTGGTCAGCTTCAAGTTACCACATATGGATAATTATGAAACTAGTAAGTGGAAAAATGTACAAAAATAAAATGAAAACAAAAAACAGACTTTTTTTTTTGCATTTGTCTGAGGCAAAGAGTAGAGACCGACATGTTCTTTGCCTTTTCCACTTATGATTGGCAACACTAAGATTCACTTCCTTACAATGCCTGATATGAATGTCCAAGTTTATCTGGCTTTAAGTTCTGAACATTCACTAATGCTTTGATGCACTAAGACACAGGTCTCACTGGAAAGACTTTTATTAAGTGGACAGCTAGGGTGTCACAGGCAGGATATTTGCACAGTACATTAATTTAGAGAGGAAAAGGTTTCTGTGTAACTTAACCAGACTGAACAGCTATTTCCACTTTTCCTGAATAAAGTATTTTCATGTTTTATCACACTAGTTTGCAACTGCAAAAGCTTCCCCCAGTTTTTAAGAGTAGCTATGAACTGTCAGGATACATTATTTGAAATGAAGTCTGACAGCTCCAGGCTTTAAAGTAAAATACATTTTATTGTTTAAAAGCATTTCTCCACCACCTCAATTTTATCCCCCCTCCCAAACCCCACCCACCCACCCACACACAAGCACCCCTCACTAGCTTGGAGAGAGACTCACCACAAACACTCTGAAATGGTTTAATCCTCATCAAATAACACCACAAGAAGGACAATCCTAAAGATGGGTTTTCTTTTCTTATTCCAAAAATGAATCCTAAAAATGAGGACAGAAGGCTGGTGTTGTAGCTCAGAGACAGAGTTCTTTGCCTAGCATGCACAGGGCCCTGGATTCAATCTCTAGTATTGGAATAAAACAAAACAAAACAAACAAACAAAAATGAAGAAGAAGAAGGAGAAGAAGAAGAAGAAGGTGGAGGAGGAGGAAGAGGAGGAAGAGAAGGAGGAGGGGGAGGAGGAGGAGGAGGAGAAAAGAAAGAAAGAAAGAAAGAAAGAAAGAAAGAAAGAAAGAAAGAAAGAAAGAAAGAAAGAAAGAGACAGAGTTAGTCCTGTGCCTATGAGAGAAGCAGGTACCAATAAGTCCATATTCATGCAATAAAATTGGAAGGAAAAATACTTTCTAGTTAATATCCTGAGGATCATCATCTCTAAAGCTGCTTGTACCCTGCACTACATGTATTTCTGTCTTCGTGTCTGGAATTTCCTCAAAGCATCTAATACAATGGCCCATCGAACACAGCACATTAAACCCATTCCCTGTACCACACACACTCAAGGGATTCTTGGGTCTTTGAAGCAATCTCTATCTGGTCCTAAATTCTGGCATTTCTGGCTCTTCACAGAATATTGTGTGCCAGAAAAGAATTTTTCTAGAATCTCTAACCTTACCTTGAAGTTTACATGAACCATCAATTATCCATCACATGTTCTAAAGACTGATATTCTGGGAACACCAGAGGGTGGGAGTTCTCTTTATTTTGACCAATGAACATACCTCTCCTCTAGAAATTCACGGCCACTTTCTTTTTACCATGGTGTCACCGTAACTGAAGAAAGACAGAATTCTGTTCAGAGCATACATTACAGAAAAGAAAGGACTGGGAAAAAATGAACTCACAAATGAACATCTTTTGTTGTTAATGATATTCTATAATGGAAGCCTAATCTCCTATGTATATTATCATCTGGCAAACTAGTTACACATTTAATAAGGTTTTTCTGTATAAATTATAAATGAAATAAACAATTCTGTCACCATGGTGTGCAATGAATACACCACATGTTATATGTAAATATATTAGTCATTTGCCTTTTGTTTATGTGTTGCTGAAATCCATTTTCTTTATGGTGTATGTTCTATTCCTTATGGGTTCCAACCAAAGTCATTTCAACCATACACATATCGGCCTTTAAAGTGGAATTATGTTGTTATTGTCCTTTTCCTGCCCAGTTTTAATAACACCTGCTTTTGTGCCAGTTTCATTTACTGCTGAAAATTGTAATTCAACAGAGAACAACAACAAAAAACCACAAAAATCCCAACCACCCTAACAGCAAATGTGACTCCAGAAAGGAGCTGTGTGATATATTGACACAATACAGAAAACATATTGAAACAATTTTTATTCTCATTATTTTCCCCCCAAATTAAATATCCCCCATAAAGCACTTTTACATATTCTGCATGTCTCCCTCTGCTCTCAACTAAACACAAACCCTTGGCTTTTAATGAGATAATTTTTTAAAAACCAGAACCAACAACTCAGCCTTTCAAGTAGTGGCATTTTTATTTTAAGCAGAGAAGCATAAATGCATGAAGGATGCAAATGTGGACTCTCTCCATGGCTCACCACAGTGTGACAGCTGTGGACAGGATCAAGACAAAAGCGGGTGACTGCTCCAAGAAAATGATGGCTTCGGCATCTCCAGCCCAATCAATAATCTGGCATGTTGAGGTCAATCACTGCGTGGCCATATTCACTTCCAGCCAGTCAAAAGATTATTAGTTTGACACCCAGAGGCTATTTCTTTCTGCCGTGGATTCTGGAGAGAGTCTGTGTGTATCTCTTCTGAACCAAATGGAGAGAGCCTAACTATTTATAACAATGGAATCAGGGACAGAGAATTTCAGAGAGATTCCATGTTTGTTAGGACTGATGCCACACAATTGCTCCAGGTTGAGTGATCCTTCTGAATCGGTTGCTAAGCTAATTTTGCATTTCGTCCATTCAAAATGTTAAACTGTTTTGAAGCCCCTACTATGTTTTCAGCCTTGGCCTCAGGATCTGGGGATACAAAGAGAATGCATTTCTTATGGTCACCAAGGGGTGAATCTGGAATATTCTCCCAAAGTGTTAATGCTCTCCATTTTTCCTAACCATTGCATTCCATTCTCCTAAGTCCCCCTCCCCATGAACCCTTGACAAATTTCCTGCATAAACCTGAAAAGATTGTTCCTGGGACAAAGAGAGGAGAGACAGCAGAAAAAATCATTATTTTAGATTATGTATGGTTAATTGTATCCTGATCTGGCCAAAGAGATGGTGATAAGTAGGTTCCGGAAAGCATCTAAAAGCTTTATGAACTGCTAAAAGGGCAATAGAATTAACCAAGGGAGCTATTTCTGACTGACATGCTTGTTCCATGTCTGTGGCCCCCAGTCTGTGTTAGGAATTCAGCTACCCGATCTCGACACTCACATAAGTGCTCATGGGAAACTGTGGTAAGGACAGATCCACAGGAGTACCTGGAATGGGGCTCTTGCTGTCTGATATTTCACCAGTCATGTTTTACTGTTTCTCCTGGATGGCATGCCGGAGAGTATAATAAATCTCAGTTTGTTTATATTCTGAGTCTGTATTTGCACTTTGGTGATTATATTTGAATTCATGCAAGATCCTTTTTTTTTAAGAACTCAAGCATAATCTTCTCATTAATCCTGTCCTGTTTGTCTGTTATTAATAGGCCACTGTACAATGTATTCTGCTGCAAAACTCCACCAGGCATGACTAATTCAGATAATTAATTTGCTAGAACATTAACACCATCAAATGAGCCTGCTAAACCGGTAAATTTAAAGTAAATTAAACTTAATTTGCAGGTTATTGCAATTAAGTCTGCCTTGTCTTTCTGAGGGATTTCAACATCCTCAGTATTTAAGAGGTAATCATAATGCATGCAAGTGGGCGGGCTTTTTGGCTAATTAACACAAGAGTCTAATCTGCTTTTCAATTAGGGTGGATGTTTATAATGTGCTGGTGACAGTGTTGCGATTCAGTGCAGCCTAACAGGAGTGCATGGCATAATTATAGCTGAAAAGAAAAGCTCATGCCGGGCCTTTTTAGGGGTTAATGAGACATTGGCAGCTTCCAGCTGAGGAGATCGAGCCAGTTTAGTGTAGCTTCAAGAGGAAACCACCCATAGGGGTTTCCTTTGAAGTGTCAAAAGGTCCCCTTGTTCTGGGTGGCTTATGTTTCATTTGTCTGAGTGGCATATCAAAAATTGATGAGCTGCCAGCAGCAGTCCCTATGACATTAATTCACCAATTGTGTTTCTAATAGTTTCATCCTTAAATAAATTTGGATGATGAGAACAACGGTAAGGAGAGTCAAGGTTCTGAAAACAATGAGAAGGGCCAGACATCTGCATGGCTTTTATAGGGCACAGACAAATGCAGCTGCAGTGAACCATAAAGGCACGCCCACCTATTTCACTCAGGGCTGTTAGCTGGAAGCTGGGGGGAGACAAAGATGCATTGTACCTGTGCCCTCTGCTGATCCACAGTGGCTCAGAAAAGCGTTTGAGGTGGCCTTCACTGGTGTTCTTTTTAAAACCTGTGACTATATGGGAAAGGAGTCTCTAGCTGAAGCCTCAGAAGATGAAGTGTCTATGGAGCTGGTACAGAATTCGTCTTTGAAACACTCTCAATTAAGCCACCTGTACACCGGGCCTGAGGGTGAAAGGAAATAGCCAGTCACATCATAAGATAGTGCCTGTATTAAGAGTAAGGAAAGAAATATTATCTCCTTCATGCCTGCAAGAAAACACTAAGACGGGATGGTGGGAGTCTAAGTTTGGAGCTGAGCTGAGAGGTGTACTTGTGTAGAAGCCTCTTCAAGTACCTATTCGGTCTAGTTCACATGATTGCCTTAATTGCACTTTCTGGTTTTAGATGCTCAGTGGTTATACAATGAGGAAAAGAGAATTTACAAACAAGTAGCTGCCTCAGGGATGATGACCATAATTTCTGATGTGCCCCAAAATTATCTGGGTACATGTATCTGAGTCAGAACAACCAATGTTATACTCTCAAAACATTTAGGAAAGCAAATGAAAAGGAAAGGCATTAAAAAACCTGTACAAAAGTAAATACTCTCACCACTGCAGTATTACATGTTTTCTTTTAAGAATACTAAATTATATATGATCATAAAGAGCATTACAAAGATGGCCTGGTGTTCATGTCACGTGCTTTAAGTAAGTTACTGTCATGTAAAAACAATATCATGTCACAGATGTGAATTAGCAGGCAATCAAATAAATTATTCTAGTTACTTTTGGAAAGATGGATCTAATTATACAAATGAACTATAAAATCTCTAAAACTTATATTGTTATATAGCTAGACATAGCCAAAGATAGTCATGATGTATTAAAAACAGATGCTCCTGCATTTTAACTGGTTACTCTTTGAGTAGATCGTATGGGTCCAACACAGCACAATGAGCTTAAGGCAATGAACAAAAGAGATATTATTCTCATACTCATGGAGCTTGCAAATAAACAGAAAACTCTCACTTGTTGGTAAATGTAATGTGACAATAAAATGGGACAGTATAATAGAGTGACTCAAGGGCTACTTTAAACTAGGTGTTAAGGAAGCCTTTGCAAGGAGGTGACATTTAAGTTGAGACCAAAATGGCATGGAAACATTTCAAGGAAGACATGACCTATTTTGTAGTTTCAAAAGATCACTTTGGCTGCTGTCTAGAGAGTCACAGAGGCAGGGTGCAGCTGTATGAGGAGGGGAGAAATGAAGCTATGCTTCCCCCTTTAGCTTCTAATGTCCTCCAGCAGTTACATGCAACTAGGCTTCTGGATTAAAACTGTGAGTTAGACGTAGGTTTGATAAATCTTTTTGTACATGACATTGAAACTTTGAGTAAATTATTAGACATTTAAGTGGCAATGCCAAGTTGGAAGGTAGACGCTTAGCCTGGACATTAAGGGAGACCCTAGAACTACAGTTGTACCCTAGAACTACAGCAGCTCGTGTTCAAAAACATGGACTGGCTGATTATCCCCAGTGGAGAGTACCCGTAGAGCAAAGAG